GAAGCGCCCATGAGGTGCACGAGAGATCTCGGGGCTTCCTTCAGAGGACTCTGGATGAGACTCGCCCAGACGAGAGCTTCCGGGACCCCGCGGGCTTGGGCGCTCTGGGAAGTGCAGAGATCGACCAGGAGCTGCGCGACGAGCAGCGCAGGTCCACCACCATGCGAAGCCCGCGCCCCCTGGAACGTCTCCAGTTCACGGGCCGAGGCACCATCGCCCAGCGGCGATAGTGAGGTCGCGGACTTGGCGCCCATGGAGGAAACCGACCCGGGGGATCTGTCATCCGAGGCCGGTCAGCATGAAGGGGGAGAAGGCAAAGAAATTGGGTGGCAGGGATCACCCAGCGCCGAGGTGAGAGTGCAAAGAGGGTGCGTAAAAGTGGACGAGTACAACAAGACCCTCGATGAGCACGTTGACAGCCTCGAGCTCCCTGGGTTCGTCCCTGGGGGGTGGATGCCATCCGATTCGGCCTCGTATGTCCATTTCCCCAGAGGACACGTTGCGGTCTTAACTCTTAATGGCCACGAGCCAAAACCTCGAGCTGGAGCTGCGCCGCTTGGAGAAGGTGACGGATAAGATGAAGTCCATGGAAGGTGGTCGGACGAGGATCATCAAGTGGCCGGCGGCGGGAGACGACGCCCGGGTTGAGTCTCAACGGCTCAAGCTAGAGCGGTACCTCGAGCTGCCCCAGACCAGAAAAGCGTTGATCAAGCAACGAGGCGAGGCGGTGAACGGACCCGTCTACGCCCGAAGTCAATTTGAGGCATTGGAGTACAACGTCGCAGAGGTGATCGAGCCTGAGGCCGCGAACAAGGCTAGCTACATTCAGGGACTGTCGACCTTCCTCTACAGGTTCGCGGTGCGTTCGGAGATGCAACGCACGCAGAGTGCCCGAAAGAGACAGCTCGCGCAGTCCTCTTCCAACTCCCACACCTAGGTGTCCTGGATCCGCCACTTCAAGAAGATGCTGCGAGCGCGAGTGCACGGGGCCAGGTGCGCCCTGAAGGGCAAGAGGAGCAACTTCAGCTTACTGGCGGACCCGGAGGAAGCCGCGGCTGATCCGAAAGGACGTTGAGAACCTACCAGGGGAAAAACTTAGGCCGCACGCCCATCAGTAGACGAACTCGACCCGCGACCACCCAAGAGTATGAAGCAAGAAGGGCCAAGCGCCGATGGCGCCGACAGAACAGCAATATCAATCACCTGACCGCGCAGGCCGAGGACGTCGAGGACGCGGGCTCGAGCGAGGGCGATGACGAGTAGGAGAGGAATCCCAGCGGTGGACAACCTGGTGCAGCATCCGGTGGCGACCCCGCTGGTGACTTCCTGCAGCGTCTTGAGAAGCCTCACGAAGCCTGCCTAGAAGGGAAGCTCTTGGCCGACGCAAAAGCAAAGGCGCAATAATTCCAGCTATCCAAGGAGCTGGAGCCGTCCCTGGAGCCCGCTGCAGGCGGGGCCCAGGCAACGAGAGGGCCCAGGAGATCTGCTGCTGCCTCCTCGTCGGCGCAGCGCCCTCATGCCGGAGAGGACATTGTCGACGATGCGGTCAAGGAGACAGTCAAGGAAAACGCCGGCGCCCGACGACAAGCCGTTTCACCCCGGGCCGAAGTACATCGGGACCGTCGGCGTCTACGCATTGGCCCCCGACGAGCACGACGACATTTCCGCCCTGGCCCACCGTCGGAGCAAGAGGGTGAGTTCCCCGCACGCTTTCGCTACTCCAGGGGGAAGGGTCGACCGGAAGGATATGGGCGTTGCTCGCGAGCGGGGCTTGGAGTTCGACTGCGCCGCCATGTGCGCGGCAAGTTGGGAGCTCGGGAAGAGGCTGGACCGCGCGCTTCTCCGGACAATTTGGTGGATATTCCGAATGACAAGACGACGGATTCACCTCGCGTGAACCGCGGGGCCCTCTTCCTGGAGCATCCCTCGATCATGCATTATCACGGCGAAGTGGAATGCCAGGTGTGCGGGAATCTAGGAACTCCTTCCGGAGGCGGGTGCCATGTCTGGACCAGCGCGGACGATCTTCTTCAGCAGCAGGACCCGCTACCCGCGCGTCAGCAGCCATCGCTCTACATCGCGACGGTGGAGAAGCAAAACGTTTTGCAGGTGATGCGAGAGATGGCCGAGGACAAGGCGGCGGAATATGAGGGCGCGGACGTGGACCAGACGTTGCAGGACGAGCCGCCCGATACAAAGGAGCAAAACGGACGCTGACCCAGCGACGACCTGATCTACTCTTTGGCGCTGAAGAGCCGTGCTCGACAGACGCGGGACGAGCGAGCTCAGAATCCGATCGCCGCCTTCAACGAGCCTTTTGCGGAGATGCCTGCAGTTCAGCATCAGTGCCCGAGATGTCTTACATGTCGTATCTGGATGAAACTGTTGACGTCCATGCCCACCGAGATTGCTGCCAACGTGATCGCGTCGTGCATTACCTATGACGCCGAGATCGCGGTGCACTACCTGGCGACAGCAGCTGAGGGCAACGATTGCGAGCCTCTCATAGTTACTTCGACGTGTGCGCAGAAACCGAGACCGAGGACACCGCGATGACTCACCTTGCGTGAGAGTTCGCTTGCAGTAGATTCAGCGACCTACCATGTTGGGCCCCCGCGGTGTTGGCTCTCGTCAACAGCGTGAACTACAGCGACCTTCTGAATATTGGCAGGAACCAATGGCACCCGCCCCAGGAGGAGAAGAAGCTCAAGACGGCGAGACTGTTCTCCGGGATTTAATGGATTAGATCTGGGTCCGCGGCGAGCGCGGACCCAGAGAGGAGCTGCAGCGCCTTCTCGAAAATTACTCCGGGCTGTCAAGCGCCGCGCGTCTTCTCAAGGGATACGTCGACAATGTTTCCCCAGCCGGGGAAACCACACATGAGGCCATGAATGCCGCGATGACAATCGACCAATGCGTCTCCACTCTTGCAATGGAAGAATCTCCAGCAAAGAAGGGCCATATACTTTTCGGGCCCGAAGAGCATTACATCAGTGCCCACTGGAGGAAGGGCTGCAAGCTGACCAGGAACAGGAAGCAAGTCCTCGAGAAGATGATGAGCTCCAACTGGAAGGTATGCGCAGAGGTCGACGTGACGAGGGGCCGCTGGATCGACGCTTCCTGTCATTACGATTGTTGTGGACGTGTTGGCTCTGGAGATTCACTCTGGAATATCCATGCGTCTAACAGATCAAACCTTGATCGCGAACATCTATCGGCACTCCTCGGCGGCCCTCATGTGCAGGGCCCGATCGCAGGTCCATCTGGGTAATGGTGGATCATCGATATGTCTATGGCGCGCACCAAGGAGATGCGGCGGGACAAGGATCTCAGCAACCCTGATGCCGACATCCAGACCGCCTGCCACGGCGCCAGCTTGGCGGCCCTTGCTTCTATCTGGGACAAGGGAGGCCTTTGCAAGTTGGAGCAGGGACCCTCGAGTACGCACAACATCTTCGGCGTCTATTGTGAAGGAGCACCTCGTCGCACCTCTTGCACTCACTACATGGTGCACCTGTCGCCTGATGCCGGCCCCAGGGTGAATCTAGATCCATGCATTTGCGAGATACAGCTGGATCGCAGACGCCTTGCTGGCTATCCCAAGGTACATGTTCACAAGCAGTGGTGCCAAACCGAAGGCAGCACCTGCGTCGCCAAGTTCTGGATCCATATTACTACAATGAGGGAGATCTGGGACAAGATCCAGACGGAGCAGCAAGTCTTTGGATGCTGCAGCTCAGGCTATTCGCATTGCGTTCCTGAGCGTCCACGCGTACTCGGACGAGAAGATCGAGGACTCCGGCCTGGCGGTTCTCGAGGTCAAGCTGATACCCAAGAATGAGAGATGGGTTCCTCAATGGACCAAAGAGCTCAGCGCAGCATCCCGCTACCTGGAGCGAACTGGGTACCAGTGCGACCTCAGCGGATCCGAGCCGCGATGTTTCACGGACGAGATGGGGCAAGTTGCGGACGAATCAGGTTCTGGCAATCCCTTCGCGGAGCCAGGATCTGACAATATATTCATGGAGCTCTCCTAGAGGCGCTCTCAAAGCCTACGTGTTCGTGTAGCCGTACCGGCTGTGCGACACAGACGCTCTGGGATTGCATCAGAAGGCTGCGCAATCTGAGTTGCTACGGCTTCCGAGGATTATCAGCGAAATTTCTCGGACTGAGGCGAGGCGGCGTTTCTGCTGCAAGAAAGGTAGGAGCTGGGCTTGTCATGCCCATGTCAGCCTGTCCTCCTCCTGCGCGCAGGCGACGGGCACGCCCTGGCCCCCGTAAAAGGACGTGCTCTCTCACAGCACGGGTTCCCCTACTTATACTTCGTGTCATTTTGAAATCCATGAAGTTTCTCCAGTGCACTCCACGCCCCCAGCTTCCCCCTAGAATCCTAGCGGGCTGGGTCAAGAGCGGTCGGATCAAAGGTCCGGGATGTTTACGTCCAGGGCTTGATCCTGTTATATTGTATGATGTATTACAAACGGGGTACTTTACAACCCCGACGTAAAAGTGTAGGGCTTTAGGAATTCCACTGGGCGTGATCCCGCCTTGCCAACGCAAGATGGTCGAACCTCAGTTACGAACGAAACGCTTGTAACGCCGAGTGATATATACATATATATGTATATAAAAAAATATATGAATATATTGAGAGAGAGAGAGAGCAAACAAAACATACATAATGATGACACACAATATGATGATACAGCTATATGTATATATATGAAGGAGATAGAGAGACAGAGAGAGAGAGAGAGAAAGAGAGAAACAACACAGAGAGAGAGAGAGAGAAAAAAAGAGAGAGAGAAAAAAAAGGAGAGCGAGCGCGCGCGAGAGGACAGTAGGAATGAATAGAGGGGATTCGGGCGGTGGCGGTGCATGTGGGAGCGTGAATTGATGGTTGAGTGTGGATTTGGGAGGGGAATGAGCGTGGGGGGAGGGTCTGGGCAAGGGAAGGGTGGAAGGATGGGCAAGGCGAGGCGGACGGGCCTTCGCGGCAGGCAACGACGGAGCGCGTGGCCAACCTCCTGAAGGCGAAGGAGGCCCTCTGCAGAACGTGTGGTGCCAGCTGAATTGCAGAGGTTGCAGACCCCTAGAGAGACGACAGAAGCAACAGAGGAACTGGATGTGCAGGGCGGGGGATCTGACCCCCTTCGCCCTCCCTCCCTCCTCCATTATATTCTCCCTCCTCCCACCTTCCCCGACATCATATTATCCATCCTCCCTCCTCCTCCTCCCTCCCTCCTCCATTCTACTATCCGTCCTCCCTCCTCCTCCCTCTCTCCATTGTATTATCCCTCCTACCTTTGTCCTTCCTCCGGCCCTGCTCGCTCCTGTCTCCTCTCTCCGCCTCCACCCGGCGGTCCCCTGTGCTGCTGGCCTGGTGTGCAGGCCCCGGCACCAGGGAGACCGGTCGGGGGTGAGCTACGGCCCCTGGACATCGAGAAACCACACGTCGCGGCGTCGGCGTCGGCGTCGTCGGCGTCGGCGTCGTCTCCTCCCTCTCCGCTCCCTTCTCCCTCCCGCCTCCCCTTCCCTCGCGCCTCCCCTCCCATCCGCCCACACCTCTCCTCCGCCTCTCCCCCACTCCTCTCTCCTCTCCTTCTCCTCCCTCGCCATCCCCTCCCCCTCCACTTTGACGATCACGCCATCCGAATTCCTGCCTTCCCCTCTCCCTGGCCCCTCTCCTCACCGGCCCCATCCTACAACCACGCCATCCGAGCGTTGCCTTCCCCTCTCCCTGGAAGCCGTCCTGAGAGTGGCGCGCCCCCCTCCTCCGCGATCAGTCCCTGCGGCGCGCGCAGTTTTCCCGCACGGCTCCCGCCGCTCCCGAGGAGCGCCCCCGCCCCGGCGCGGGCCACCTTCCCGGCTTCGAGTCGCCCCTTGGCCTTCCCGGGGTTAGGGGGCCACATCCTTGTTTCTTATTAGAATATACCCCCACCTACCTCGTATTCCGGCCGATAGCGGCCCAACCCAGGACCTCCCATCCGGACTGTAAAAAATCAATACAAAGTGGCTGTTTTTCTTCTCAGCATCGTCTTTCTTGTCGTCGACGATGCGAAAAGCGTGGCAGGAATGGGACGCGGCGCACATCGCGCGCGGCAGTCAATCTGGGCCCGCCCACCCTGACTGGAAAAAATCAATACAAAGTCTTCGTTTTTTCCTCTCAGCATGCCCTGCCTTGTCGCCGACGGTGCGAAATATGTGGCAGCAATGGGACGCGGCGCACATCGCGCGCGGACGTCCATGCGGGCTGCGGGCCCCCCCATCCTGACTAGTGCTACTAATACCATTGGTACGACTACTACTACTACTACTACTACTACTACTACTACTACTACTACTACTACTACTATTACTACTACTACTACTACTACTACTACTACTACTACTACTACTACTACTACTACTACTACTACTACTGCTACCACTACTAGTCAAGCAGCCGTACAAGTATTACTAGCACTTCTACTTCCATAGTGCTACTACTCTGTACTACGACTCGTACGACTACTTGTACTACCTGTAGTACTTCTGCTTATACTACTCGTATTATTATTCGTACTACTAGTACTACTACCTATTCGTATCCCCACTACTACTACTACTACTACTACTACTACTACTACTACTACTACTACTACTACTACTACTACTACTACTACTACTACTACTACTACTACTTCTACTACTACTACTACTACTACTACTGCTACTACTACTACTACTACTACTACTACGACTACTACTACTACCACTACTACTACCACTACCACTCTACTACTACTACTACTACTAACTACAACAACGACAACTACTACTACGACTACTACTACGACTACTACTACTACTACTACTACTACTACTACTGCTACTACCACTACTACTACTACTGCTACTACTACTACTACTACTACTGCTACTACGCGCCAGCACCCAGTTGCGCCAGCATTGTTTCTTATGTTGTGGGAGGGCGGAACGTGTCCGTTGTTCCTTTCAACATGGCCAGTCTTGTCGTCGACGATGCGAAATGCGTGGCGGGAATGGGACGCGGCGCACATCCCGCGCGGACGTCAATGCGGTGTCCTGGGGTATCCTCCACTCGCACTTAAATGCCCGCGCAGCCCCCAGTTGTGCCATCACTGTTTCTTATGTTGTGGGAGGGCGGGTGGGAATGGGCATGCCATGCTTGACTCGCTCGAGCTGGCTAGCTTGACGCGCACCCTACCCCTACCCCCCAAGATTTCTGAGGGGGAGGGTGGGGTTCACTTCGCTCTGGAGCTCCCGAACGAAGTGGACCCCACCCTCCCCCTGAGAAATCGTGGGGGGTAGGGGTGGGGTTCGCGTGTGGCCGACTACGGGTCCTCCTGCTCCTCCCGCTCTTTCCACTCCGTCCCCTCCTGCTGCTGCCGCTCCTCCTCGTCCCGCTTCCTCCTCCTGCTCCTCCTCCTCCTCCTCCTTTCTGCGTCGGCTGTTCCGGCCGGCGCCGCTGCCAGACAC